ACTCTTCTTTCTCAAGGTTGTAACCATTTTCAACTCAGAGAAGAACATTCAGGCGTCTAGGAGTCCTTGATTTCAAACGAATTTGTCTTGCTTTCTGTTAATACTAACAAAGCTGTCATTGTTGGAAACCGAGGGCATTAAAACCCAGAGCACAACTACTGGCCTGGGGAAATCAATCAGATGATAACCGCTTTGAGAAACAGGCTCTGTGTTGGGACACACTGGCCAGTCTCCTTAGGGCACACCCAGGATCTCATTACAAACCACCCACCCCATCTTGTGTAGGCTCCTCTGCACAACTCACATGCACAAAATTACCTCTGTTGGTAGGACATCCTTCCCCAGACAATGGGTTTGCTGTGCGGTTTCACAGAAGAAACACCATAAGCTGAAGAATTGATGTACATGTCATAGTCTGGTGGCTGGGACACCTCGGTAAAGAGCACACAATACATTCAGGGGGGCTGATCACGCTGTGTTTTGTTGGGCAAAGGCCCAAGGCCACACACCAGCCCACCTGCTACCTACAATACCTGCATTTAGTATCATTGGAGAGGCCCTCCAGGCCTACCTACGAACTGAAATTATTATGCACATTTTACCTGGATTTCAACATGCTGTTGTTTACTCTTGCTGCTGGGTGTGCAAAACAATTGTCGTTACTTCATGTTTGCCTCGCCTTTGTTCCCCTGAGCCAAGTGCAAGCCCCAGTCAGCCTCTGCAGGTCTGAGTTTGAGGGTAACTAACAAAACTTCTCATTTTACAGATGAGGATATGAAGGCTCAGAGACCTTGAGCACATGGCCAAGGTCCCAGCTACATATTCTTAGAGTCAAGACCAGAGTCTACCACCTATCATGCCTTTTGGTCTTGGGATCTTTTCACTCATCCATGCAACATTTGACAAGCTCTCAAGCCAGTTCTTTGAGGAACTGAGGATTTGGAAACGAAAGGGGGTCTTGTCCTGAGGAGGCTGTGGTCTCTGATACTCTGATTGCAAGAAGCGCTGGTTCCAACATCAAAGGGAGAGAGATGGCCGGAAGCTGAGAGAGAGCATCCCCACAGTTCCCATTCTCCACTGAATGCGCCTCAAACCAAATGAGCACAAATCCGGGATTCACTAAATAAAACCACTGGAAAACAAGGTGAAAGTGACCGAGGCCAAGAGAACCGATACAAGTGCCTTCCTATCCCTCCTGAGAAGTGAGCCGAAGAGTGGCCCCCCAGTGACAACGTGGGACTCATGGCTGGGCCTCACCGCCCACCCCGGCACCGCCTGGGATGAATCACACAACAGAGAACAACGGGGCTGTTTCTTAAGAGTCATTTGTCAAGTTGACATCCGTGCCTAGAGTTATTTAGGGCTCTCTAAAGACACTTCTTTCCCTCCCTGCTGCAGGAAGCACCTGCGCGGCTGTCGAGCTGTGGGTTTGCTCAATGGCACTTTGATATCCTTCAATGCCATCAATTACACTTCTGTCCCTGCCAGCATGGACTCTGGCTAATACAAAGATAGGGCAGCTTAGGGAGGATGATGGAGAGGAAGAGGATAGGGAGATCCCACCCCGCCCTGGGATCTGAGGCCAGACACTCTCTGGAGGTACGCTCCTTGCTGATTCCTGTGGGGAATCCTCCAGGCAAGGACAGTCTGAGTCCTTGGCTGGTTGGACTTGGAACTGAACTGTGATGCTCCCATGAGAGCAAGTCTCCCTCCTGTCAACTACTTAGAGGAAAAGCAGGCCCATCAGATGAGTGAGACTCGAGCAAGATTCAGGTAAATGGCTTCAGGGGGAGGGAAATTGGAGAGGACTCAGAGGAGAAAAATATAAATAATTAGAAGATCCGGTGAATGGACCCCTGAAAGCAGTTAGCGGAATTAGAGTTGTTGAGTCTAGGGAAGGCAAGGGTATACTAAGAACCAGCTTTGATTACAGGGAGGATAATTGTGAGGAGATTAGTGGTCAGTTCCACTGAAAATATGATGTGGGTTAGTGATGCTTAGATTGAAGCGTGCTGGCCCGTCTGGGCTGTTCCATTGTTCTTATTCATGAGGTGGTGGGGCTTCTTCTGTGGAGATGTACGTGAAGGAAAATGACATCCTCCCAGCTGGAATGGTTTAGGGAAAGTCCTAATGGCCCATGGGTCTCCTCCTTTCAGTTCATACCACCCAACAGCCCAGTTTGGCCCTTATGTCTGAATCGGTTTGGCAGACTCTCGGCTGGTATCCAGACATTCTATCTCTACCTCCTCCAAGCTGTTTTGCATAGTGAGGTCCCACTTATCTTCCTTAAATTCATCTTGGGTTATAGCAGTGTCCTGCTCAGAAAGTGCTGATGCTTCATTCATTCATGCAACAAACATTGAGCACCTGTTGCGTTGAGCCCAATACTGTACTAAACTTTGCGCATACAGCGTGGTACAAAGTGCAATAGGGCCTCAAGGAGGTCTCTCAGTCTTCGTGTCCTTGTCCTGGAATATTTCAAGGCCCCCACCGCTTGGTTTTGACATGTCTTTCTGACTTTATGTCAACTATGAAACTTTCCCCTCCACCAGCCTGGTCTATTCACCATGTCCAGCTCACTCCGGGCCTTTCCTCTCACCACTACCGGGGCATGGACTAGCCTTAGCCAAAGCCCATCTCTCCTCGAAACCAACACAAGTCTCCCCTCCATTAGCAGGACTTCTGAGGCCACTTGGGTTTTGAGAATTCCAGCACCTAAGCCCCAATGGTGCTTCCTTGGCACTACGTACTTCCTGCCTGAGGGCAGATTGCAAACTGGCCAACTGCTGTGCCTGCTATGACCACTGCTGCCCTCATTCACTGTACATGAGACCCCAGAGAGCTGTGATCACGTGGACCTTCTCTCTGTATCCAAAGCCCTGCTGTGAGCAGTGAAGATACCTGGGGGTTGGGGGACAGCTCAGGTGTTGGCAGGTGCTTCCAGAGCATTTTACACTATTAAGAGAAGCGCAATTATATCAAATCTCTGAACTTAACGGGAGAAAGGCTTTTGTGGTCGTTTAGTAAAACTACCTCATCTTCCAGATGTGGAAACTGAGGACCAGGGGAACTGGTTTACCCAAAGCCACTAGGTGAAGTCGTAACAGAGTCAAATCTGTTCTCCTTGTCCACTAAACTAACCTGTCTCTATAGAGTCCGGCAGTTGGAATCCTAAAGAACCTGCCATTTCAGGACACACATGAAAGAAATAGGAAATGCATTGGTTTCTTATTACGGCTGTTAACAAAGGACCGCACATTTAGTGGCTTAGACAACACAAATTTATTATCTTACAGTTCCGTAGGTCAGAAGTCTGACATGTGTTTAGCAGTCTCACTGCTAAAATCCAAGTGTTTGCACGGCTTCATTCCTTTCTGGAGGCTCCAAAGGAGAATCTGTTTTCTTGCTTTTTCCAGTTTCTACAGGTGGCCTGCATTCCTTGGCTCATGGCCCCTTTTATCCATCTTTCAAGCCAGCAACGGTGTGTTGAGTCCTTCTCACGCTGCATCACTCCCGCCTCCTCTCCTGCCTCCCTCTTCCACTATTAAGGACCCCTGTGGTTACAGTGGGTCCACCGGGATACTCTTCCTATCCTAAGTTCAGTTTAATAGCAACCTTAATACCTCTTTGCCATGTAAAGCAAGATATTCTCACGTTCCCTGGATTAGGAGGTGAACATCTTTGGGGGAGGTCCTTATTCTGCCAACCCCAGGAAAGAAACAGAGAAATGAGAATGAAGGCCAACTCTCTGTAGTGTTTTCTTAATTTCTCTAATTCTCTGTGACCAGAAAAAGTTAGTTTGAAGATATCTTAGATTAGGCTTCTCTTCTGAGCCGTGAGCTGGTTAATGGTCAAGACACAAAGGAAAGGAAAATGCCAAAATTTATAGAAAAGAAGCCTCCAAATGTTGGTGAAAATGGGATGAGAACCAAGGGAAGACCTCTTTAGTTTCTAAGGGCCTGAGAATTTCTAGGCTTCAAGGGTGTGGGCTTAGTTTACCAGAGGAGGGAGTTTACATGAGACATGTAGATGGAATCCCTGACTTCAAGGCCTGTTGGTCATTAAAATCAGTAAGTAAGAGTAGAGCAAGGGGGCTTCCCTGGTGGCGCAGTGGTTGAGAGTCCACCTGCCAATGCAGGTGACACGGATTCGTGCCCTGGTCTGGGAAGATCCAACATGCCGTGGAGTGGCTGGGCCCGTGAGCCATGGCCGCTGAGCCCATGCGTCCGGAGCCTGTGCTCTGCAACGGGAGAGGCCACAGCAGTGAGAGGCCCATGTACTGCAAAAAAAAAAAAAAAAAAAGAGTAGAGCAGGGAAGGGAATGTCTTGGACAATTTAAGGCCGGAATCAATGAATTTTGGGTCAGGATGTTTTCATAGACTCCTGGCCTTTCAGAGTGGAAACAAAGGGCCTTAAGAGGTTCCTTGTCTGACCTCACACCTAATGCAAAGTCCTCTGTAAGACCTTTGACCACCCACCAACACTCTGCTTTGTGGAGCTCTGGCCAGAGGTAGAAAATCATCTAGATTTCCTTAGTTATTCTCCAATTTTCTGTGCTTATGATTTTCTGTGAACCTCAACTTTATTTCTAATTAATGCTTGGAGTTGGTGGGAAAATCTGGCAAACTACCCCTCCCGATCTTTTCTCTATCAGGGTGGTAGGATTTTGACTGTTCTTCTATCTTCACATGGAGAGTCTGACACCTCCCTAGACCACATGTAGTATCTAACCTTCACTGATGGGACTGTGAGGAAGGGAGAAAGCGCCCAGGGTGGAGTCATCTGCCGGTGGATTTGGTTTCACAGAGCTCTCTTGTCCTCATATGCTGTAGTGGCTGTTGTTTAAGCTGCCTAGCACCCTTCTCCCACCTCTTTTGGTAACAGACCCTGTCTCCTGGTCACATGGGACACATGACCCAGGAGAGCCAATCACATACCTCACTTGCTTAGTCATTATGGCTGGACCAATCAGCATCATCACTTGGGGACTGTTTTCTAATCCATGGGAGGAGGGGGAGGAAATGCCCATCTGCTCAGATCCTGAGCTCTGAGGAGGTGAGATTTGCCCATGGCCACATCCGCACCTCCTGGAGAAGCTCATCTGGGAAAATGGCATCATCCAGGAGTGAAAAGAAGAGAGAGTGAGTATCCTCAGGGTGTTTTCAGGTCCCTCAATCCAACAATCCTTTTTTATGGTTTGGTTATATGAACAAATAAATTTCTCTTTTAGGCTTAAACTGGCTCAAGATGTGTTTCTTCCATCTGTAACCCATGAGTCCTAAATCATTTGGGACTTTTCTCAGTTTTCCTGTTTTTTAGAGACTCTGAAAAGTAAACTAAAGATCAGAAATGATTCGTCTCAGAGTCCAACCTGTCCATGAGGGTTTGGGGAAGAATGAGTAGAAAGAAAGAGTGGAAAATCATGCAGGTGAGAAATAAAGGTTCTTGTGTGAAGCCCAGTGAGATGGGATCCATGAGTGATTCATGGGGTCCCTCACCCTTTGGTCCTTTTGGACCTACACTTGCTTAAAATAAATCATAGCCCTAAACTCACATAGATTCAAGCCAACCTTGGGTTCCCAAAGGGAGTATTTTTCTACTTTATGGAAATGGTACTGTTTGTTTGGTGTAAATCAGAGCTTTAGAGAGTACCCAGTAGATTCACTGTTAAGCCCAAGGGAAAGGGGAGGGAAGCACGAGAAAAGTCTAGCAGTAAGGAGAGAGAAACATGACTCCACCAACAAGATGCTGACTGAATATCTCCTATGAGTGTGAGTCTGTGCTCGTTTCAACTTGTCATTCCAAAGCACCAAGCAGAAACCTTATTCGTGATGACAGACGCTAAGAATTAGGTGTGTCTGGTAGAAGAAAAATGCACACTCAGGTAGGAATGGCAGGCAGCAAAGTGGACAATTACTCATGAAGGCTATTAAGGAAGGAACAAGGATGAAAGGGCCCATGTTAAACTACACATTAAGTTAAAACATATGGAAAAAAAAATTTTTGGATATATATCTAAAGCCTGTAACGGTCTATACAAAGAGGCTGTGGCGTCTCCCTCAGAGGGAGGCTATTGAGGATAGTTTAGACTGCCTCATGACCGCCTCTCAGGCTTGATTATAGGTCTGCAACTTGGCCCTCACATCTGCTTTTCAGTATCACCGTGGGGGAGGGCAATCTGTCCCTTTGGACTCTGAAACACAATCTAAGGCTTTTGTATTTTTTTTTTCTGGCAGAGTTGGTTTTCCATGTTTACTTTGTCAAGAATGGCTTTATATATATTTTTTATATATACTTTTTTTTTGCAGTAAACAGTTGAACAAAATGTACACAGTGTTGTCCAAACTTCTTAAGTGCTCCCAGATTTGGAAGCAGTGTTTATTTATGTAGCTTTCAGAAAGTCCGAATGGGTCTGATAGGTCAGAAGACACCTGAACTTTTGACTCTGCCCTTCAGCTCACACACTGTTCTGTCCATTGTTTTATCTTCAAAATGGGAAAACGAGGAACTATTCTTTGGCCATATCTTGCTCACAGAGCCTTTCCCCTCCTGCAGACTGTGCCACCACCCGCAAGCTTGAAAACACCCAAGGAAACCATCCCGGCATTGTGAGTAGACTAATCGCCACGTACCACTCAGTTTTCCCTTCCTGGACTGCGTCACTGGCCGTAGCCCTGTGGTTCCCACGTTGTTTCTGTCATCGTCCCAAGGAGCATAATTCCTGATCCTGAGTCTGGGCAGGACAGCCTGTCTCAGCACGAGCTCTTATGTAAGGTGGCTATGGGAAGAGTTGGCAATAAACAAACATATTTCCAGCCATTGTTTTCTCTGCAGTCTTGAAAATTATTTTCTCTGGGGCAGCTGCTGCTCTCCTGCCCCAGGATGGAAGATTCCCAGCTTAGAAATGTCTTGCGCTGCATTTCTAGATTCTAAAATCAGAACAAAGTGAGCCACAGTGTTCAGAGAACTTACTGAGCACGGGAACATTTAGATGGATTTCTCTGCAAGGGGATTTGAGGCAGCATTTCAGAAAGCTTGTCCACCCATCTGTGCTGCTGGTGACTGTTGGTAAATCACATGGCCCTTCAGAGCCACGGGTAGGGAAACCAGAAGACGATAGGAACTAACCTGGGAATGGAGAAGTGATTTCATGGCTACCAGGTCCTGTCCTCCAGTGTCAAAGTCAGACTCACTGCATGAACAGATTCCACAAGTATGAGAAAAATGGGACTATTTGCAGACTCCATTTTTCCTTGAACCGCTCCATCTTAGAAACTCAGAGGAGGGACGGTTTCCAATACTGCCTTAAAATACTCTGCCTCTAACTCCCATTACTGAATTTAGTGAAAATCCCACCCAAGTAGGCAGCTCCTGGGAGAATCTTGTAGGGACACTCAGCCGGCTCCCGGTTCACTGGGGGGTATCCCTGGGCTTCCTGTGGTTGACACGACAGCACCCCCCCACCCCACCCCGCCTTAGTAGTCTCCATTGGGAGGCCCCCGCCAAAATGATCATGTCCCCACTTTCCCAGCAGTGGCCAGCTGCTCTGGGGGCACCCTCTGTGCTGATAAGCCAGGTTGATTCCTCTGTCTCTCTGAGTAACTCAAGTCATCTCACAATGAATTACGAAGTGCATTTGTTATTTTTGGGGGGTGGTGGTGATGGGGGTGGGATGCACTCCCAGAGTCTCTTTTAGTTCTCCTTGAGCCTCCTGAGACCCCCCGAGAGAGGACCCATTGCCTGTAGCCTGGACACGTCACTACACACTTGACCTCTCTGACAGTGACCACCCTGCTCACTGTCAAGGCTGGGTCTGTGTCTGTATTCATCCTGCCTCGCTCACTATCATCTCCGTAACATCCATAGGACGAGGACAAGGTTACTTGAAAAGGAAGAGGCTCACGCAGGCCCCTTGGCTCGTCCTCGGTCACCTGGAGCTAAGATCAGCTACGTAATTTGCAGGGCCCGGTGCAAAATTAAAATGTGAAGTCCTGTTCTGAAAAATTATTAAGGACTTCACGATGGTAACAGTCAAGCACAGGCCCTCCTGTATAACTACACAGGTAACACACCCGTGGAGCCTGTGTCGTTTTATTTGAAATTGCCAGTTTTCTGAGTGGAGTGACTGGAAGAGACAAGTACTTTGAAGACCACGTAAGAAAGTCTATGACAGAGAGGCGTCAGCTGGCTGCCTTTAGCAGCGTGCTCTAAGTGGGGGAGGTCTTCTGGGGACACCCTGACTAGCAGGCACCATTCTCAGTACTTCCATATGTTAAGTCATTTCATATACATACACGCATATCATTTACATCTGTTACATCACGAAGCTTCACAGCAACCATAGCAAGTAATATTATTTCCCCCTGCTTTACAGCTGAGGAAACTGAGGCACAGCAGCATTTAAGAAAACGTTGAGAGTCTGCTTCTCAGCGTTCTGATACAGGACCTCTGTTTTTCAAGTCTACCCAGACCTTACCAGACCTGGAGGGACTGAATCATGCTGAACTCACGGATCATTGATTTCTATGCTGCAAAAACACGTGTATGCCTCTACAGTGATAGGCGCTACCATTCCAGTGATTCAGTTCCATGAACCAGGGCACCCCTTTGGGTATTGAGGTGCCTGGGGCGACTAAAGTCAGAAGGTTTCTCAGGGAGCACAGAATCAAAACCAAGCTAGCTGCAAAATCTCAGGGGAGACCTTGACCAGACTAACGCAGAATCCGGGAAACGGTCCTCCTTGTCCTTAATGCACTTCTTTCTGGTGGGTGGAGCCCCTACCTGCTGAGCACAGAGGCTCTGTCCTGTGCATGGAGTCACTCCCACCACCTCATGCCAGGCCAGTGACATTACACCCGAGGGGGGTGTCCCTTTCTTTATGTTGTTGCAATCAGGTCTGGGATTTGATCGCAAACATCACAATCCCGGCAGTCGTTTATTTACAAACCAACTCTGAGGATGCCCTATCCACAGAAGCCCTGCTGATTTCCACCAGTTTCCATTTCCAAGGACAAACTGAATCTGGCCCTCTATGCACTGCCTAAACTTAGCACTTAAGTAATTCCAAAGAGAAGCAGCATGTTAACATGTTAAAATGAGATTGCGTTGGTTCCATCAGGAATGTAGGATAAAGATGCCACGCTGGCCCCTTGGAGGTAAATTAACTCCCTAAAAGCTCCTACCTGAGTAGCACTGAATAAGTAAACAACAAAACTACACTTGGACAGGTTTCAAGTGGGACTGAGGAAGTAGTCGTAAAATAAATGACTTTTGCATCATCAGGGAATTCGTTTTTGTTTTGTTTTGTTTGTTTGTAAACCTCACTTGAAAGTTGTCTTCTCCCTGCCAAAAGCCAGGATGATTCAGAGGACCCATCTTCTGATGTACAGAGAACCTGCAGCAGGTGATTTTGAAGGGCATCTTCTGGGGGCCAATTTAGAATAGCACGATTGGATTATAAAGATGATGATGATGATAGCTAATATTAAAAATATTTTTACTATATAGGTGGCAAGAATTTGCTGAGTAAAAATAAGTATTTTCTAACAACACTATGAGATTATTCTCATTTTACTGAGAGAAAATGGATTTGGGACCAGCAATTGTAATAGAGATGAAGGTGATGATTCTTAATCTCTGAACTAAAAGCATTAAGAATTGGCTGCAGTTGGAAACTTGTCTTAGATGGAAGGGATGGTTCCAGGCAGACGAGTGCGGGCTGGACAGTGGTGGGGCACATGAGGAAGGACGAGAGACTAAAATAGCCACGTGATGAAGATAGAAGAGGGTCCTAAAAGGACGAGGGCAGAGAAAGCACCGGGGCAGGTGTTTCTCTGGGTTAGGTCCACCTGGATAAAATTCTCCTGAGATCCCTCACTGGGAAGGGGTCAGAAAGGCCAGCAGGACCATCTAGTCTCTAGTTAGGTATGAATCTTAATTGTGACTGATTATATATGTGTTCATTTATGCTCAAGTTAACTGTGAGTAGATCGGTAGGATGTCATTCCACGGTATGGATTTGGCTTTCTTTCCTAATCTCTTTTGCTTCATTAGAAACTCCAGTTAATGGAACACTTCCAATATTGTGAGAAGCAGAAGCCAGCTGACCAGCACATAGTCACTTAGCCTTCTCTTTCTTCCCGGGAGGCGGTTACATCATATCCATTTGTAAACAGGAAAGAGTGGCTTGGAGGTACTCAGTAATTTTCACAGTGAGGTAGTTCACAGGTGAGTGGTGCAGATCTGGGTCTCAGATCTCTCTGGCTCTTTCCCCTTCAGTGGAGAATCAGTCAAACAGCAATCCTCGGATAGGAGCAGTCAACCAGGCTTGTTCCTGTCTTCGGCATGCCTCCCACTGCCCTGTCTGCAGCTACCCTCCCCGCAGACCACACCCCCGCCCCGCCCACCAGCGTCTAACCTCAGGTACATGGTGGTCTCCTTTAGCTCATTGCTTTGCCTACTCAGGTGCGGTAACTGAGAAAAACAAGAATATGACTGTGATTTTCTTAGCTACTTTTTAATGTTCAAATCAGCTCTTCGAAAACAAAGTCAAGATGCAATAATAATAAGTGTTTATAGTTAAAGTAGGGAATCAAACAGCGCTTCTATAGCATCTCCTACGTGGCAGGTACTGTTACCGGTGTGTTCCATGAATTCAGTTTGCCCCTGGCTTCATAAAGCAGTCTGTGTGTGTGTGTGTATTTGCCTCTTTGCGTGTGTGTGGTATGTATGTGTGTGTGGCAAAGGATGCTAGAATTTCAATTTTCTCTTGCTCCCATCTTTGAACTTCTCAGAATTAATTTTAGCCGGGCTGGACCTAAGTAGAATCTAATTCTTACTTGTGGCTCCCCAAATGGTCCCACTCTACAGGCTGCCTGTTTGGCAAAGGGAGGGGCCAGACAAGACACAAGGGTCTGAGGCCCACCCTGGAGTCCCCCAGGCCTGACCTCTCTGGAGGTGTTATCAGAATCTGTGGTCCCTGTTCTGCTTCCTCTCATTTTGCTTCTTCCCCCGCCATCACGAAGTCTTTCTTTTGACGGTGAAGAGCCATGTGCTAGTTCCCTTGTATGCCAACAGTCTCACCCTCCTCTGGCTCTCAGGGCCAAGGCCCCCGTCCCATGGGACCTTGTATGCTTGGTTTCCCTGCACCCTGGGCGGCCGGGTGCCCACACAGCGATGTGAGACACATGTGTGCAGTCGGGGGAGAATTTAGCTCCCAGGATTCAAAGACATTCAAAACCAAGCTCTGTGTAGTAATTCCCCACATAAATCTTGCCTTTGACTACAAATTATTTAGACTATCCCATTTCACGTCCTTCTCCTCTCCCATCAGATTCAAAGGAGTTTAGACTTAAGAGAAACATTGGGTCTGAATTAAGCTGAGTCATTAACTTGATCATCTTTTAGTCTCTCGTTTCACCGGGGAAACCTGGGAATAGGGAGATGTAGGGGCAGGGGCTCCCCAAAGCAGGGACTCTGAAGATATCTATGTGAAAAAGGCATTTGCAAAGCCAAACTTGCTGTGGACTTTATGATATTGAAGATGGGGCAGTCCAAATGAAACAGAAAACATCAGGCTGGCCCACCTCACTGTGACATTGTGGCCCTTAACAGCTGTCCTGGGTGGTGCACCTCCAGAAATTTGAAACAGGAAAGAAACAAGATTCCAGGGGTTCCAGCAAGACCGTAATGACAGCTTTAGAGAGCGCTGCAGCCACCTTTTTTTTTTTTTAGGCCTCTGCCCCGCCCCTGGGGTCGAGGGTAGTATTTGATCCCTACAGCTTTCTTTCCATCCAGTTCAAGTACCTGCTTGCAGGCTT